CTATTTCATTACATAGTATGTGTTAAATTCATACATTTTTGTGATGCAGTTGTTTTACTTTGATCATGTTGCTCCGAGTGGTTGTCATGTTGCTCATGCTCGCTCGGTTGATTGGGGCGATGCAGAAATAAAGGAGACATTGAAACTATTCAAAAATTCAGGAGGTTACTAGAATAAGAAGGTCATCCTTTGTTTCCATTCTTTTAGGTTTGGTTTTGTTTGTTCTTATTCATGTTGAAATGGAAAACTAAATTCTCTGTAACATGTCTTTAAATAGGTTGTTGTTAATTTTGTTGTTGAAGAGCAAATGCCACCATCAGTATAAAGCGAGGGAGTGAAAAATATTGATGATAGTCGGATTTCAAAAATTGAGACGACTATTTGTGACATTAAAAGTATTTTGGAAGAACTAGTTGTCATTGTTAAAAGTGGAATGGCTAATTCTTCCACTCCCAAGGTCATGGAAAAATTGGAGCCATCGCAAATGCCAAAGCAATGAGAAGTGGATCACGACCAATGTAATAAATTAGTTGACATAGTTACACCTGGAGTTGTAGAATCTACGGTTGTACCTATAGTTCAACATATGACCAATGTGCTCCCGCCAAAACATGATGTTATGGTAGAATCTACAGTTCTACTTACAGTGGAACATGTCACCCCTGTGCTACTGCCACAACCTAATGTTATGGTAGCATCAAAAAACACGGTTGAAAATAGAATTTTGCTCACACCATCAATCTTCAAATTGGATTCCCATCGTCATGATCAAACCACCCAGGTTCAAAAACGAGTAACAAATTCACCATTTTTTGATTCCATTGATGGTTCTTCTGATACAAATGGTACTCCCATTACACATCAGCTACAAAGGAGGAATAATAAACAAAACAAAATGAAAGTGGGATTGAACAATAAGCGAAGGAAAAAAATCCCAAAACTCCAACTTGTTGATGAATCTAGTTCATCAACTGGTCCATATGGCAGTCGGTGCACTGGACGTTTAGATGAGGGGGTGGAAAGTCAATATGTGCGGTCACCTTATACAGCCATCGCTAGTAACAAGAGAAAAGCCATTCTAAAAAAACCAACCCAAACAATGCTTGACTTTAATGTAGCAGATTCGTCTCTCGATACAAAGGAGGATAAGTTTGATCAAGTAAGTCATGTAGATTATATATGTATTATACTATGTTATTCATTTGTGATACTCTATTTCACAATTTTTGGTTTTTTATTGTTGGTTGTAATTTGTGGTAGAGTTTGAACTTACTCGGAAAACTACTTGGCGCCAATTTTGATGCTATTGAGGTTATTACTCATTCTATTATTGTTCTTGATCTCCAATCCCCTATAACGCACTGTACAAAGTTTGACAATTTGTTATTTATGTATTGGGTTATATTCACAAGTCATCCACTACACGAATCGTAAGGCCATGTCCTTTATCTGCTGAGGAAAATTTTTTGAATGAATATTGTTTCGATAAGGATTTGGATAACAAGTAATTTTATTGAGTTTGTATGTTCCTCTATCAATTAACAGTAAGTTTAACCCTTCAATTTTCACATGATTCAGTGAGGATATTATGGTGATGGAGCTGTTTTACACCCCGATTGAACTTGCCACCCGCTTAGATTTGTGCTCATTATAACCAAAAACCTAGATTCGTGGTTCCGTAAGTGTTCATTTCATACGTCAATATTGCTATGTGATGTCATTTTCAATGATATAGGTCTGAAATTATTATTTGTTGCATGTATTGTAGATTATCAAATTAATTGTAGCGAAATTGACAAATGCACAAAGAAGGCTTTTTCCGGATAAGTGTCATAGTACATGGTACTTTTCCCATATATGTATCGGTGAGTAGTATAGTGTGTCATGTTTATTTTTGGGTGTTGATGTACACTTACTGAAACATACTTGTACATTATTGAATGTAGCAACATATTTTGAATGGGACGAACCATGCAAAGCTATGTGATGAATATTTTGGGGAGTCTCGATACACTGGGAAGCTTCATGCCTGTGAAGAAGTAATGGGTCAAGCACTCTTACATTTTGCACGACTATTCTAAATATCCTCTCCATTGTACTGCTATTATTAATTTTTTAATATGTGTTTTATGGTATTATTATTTATTAAATTTTTATTTTCTAAATTAGTTGGGCAACATTGCACTAAGTTTTGTTATTATTGTTGCTTAGATATATATTCCGATGAATGACAATGGAGAACATTGGTTTTGTGTCAAGATAGATATGGCACATCGCATGGCCTATCTATTTGACTCGCGTCTTAGTCGCACAAATGACGAAAGTCGAGAATTAATGGCAAGGAAACTGGTAGGCCATTTAATTTTTTTTTTCCTTTGGTAAAATAATCATCATAATCTAATTTACTACGCTCATGCATAGGTTCAAACAATGCATTTGTTATTGTAACACTATTTTGGAGACCAGTATGTTGCAAATGTCAAGGAATTTGAATTAGAGAGATTGAAAGACCTTTGTATCCAACATAAGACTGATAGGTATACTAAAAAAATTATTCCTTCACTCTCCAATTTTGGCTCTCCTATTAATATTACACACAAGGTTAACCTTCACATGCATCTTTTCATGAAGTTATGACTGTGATGTTCATCATAAAGTATATGCAAGGTGTTGTCATGCCGACTGGCGTACACAAGGTGACTATTTCATGTTTAACCACATAATTATACTATTACAATTATATTGTCATACGATGGTATTGTTAATGGTATATTGTCTGTTCTATTTCCTTAGTTTGATAAGGTGGAAAGGTTTAGGCTGCTAGTCGACCTAGTGAAAGATTTGTCGAACAATAAGTATATTGATGTTATGGATCGATTCGACGCATACAAAAAGAGGTACGTCCCCAAACCATGAACAACTTATGCCCTTCATAAGCTCAGCTCATTACTTATTCAATGTAATTTTCTTTTGAACAGGTACTTTAGGCTTCGAAAGGCCAAAAGGAAAAAGAAAGATTGATAACAACATCGTTTTTGCCACTAAGTTTTTTTTTACAATTATGAGCATATTTAATGGTTGAAGAAGCTTGGACGAATGTAACTAACTTGGTTTGGCAATTTTTTGTGGATGCTTGAATAAGTATATTAGTTTTGGATTTTTTTACCAATTTCTATAGAATATTTACTAGTGCTAAAGATTGGTGTGATAAAACTACATCTGATATGTAATTGTGAAGCAGTAGTCTTAATTGTTACAATTGCAATCACTCAAAAAATTCATAAGAAGGCTAACATTGTTTACAATTTGTTTTACAAGTGAAGAAGGAAAAAAAAAAGAAGACACTGTTCATAAAAGAACAGGGTTGACAAGAAGTTTGGTCATGCATCCATGGTTGTGTCCATTTGTTGGCTTTCATCATGGTTGGACCCATCAGATTCCTCTTCACTAGTCAAATTTTATGAAGCTTCAACACAAAATAGTTTCCGCATGGTTCGATCTTGTCTTTCGTGCTGCTTTTGAATTTGCTCTTCTGTTTTGCCATACGTTCCACGAATTATGCTGCATGTGGATTATTTGGTATGCTACCAAAGAATTCTCGTACCATGTTGACATAAGCCTTTCCTACCCATTCGATCAGGTTTTGGATATGTAGGTGGCCCACAATTGCCTAAATTTCAGAATTAATTAACTCCTTCATTGCACTCTACAGTAACAGCCCGTTTAGGAAAAATGCCAAGATCATTGGGAGGAGCTATCGCTTTTCCTTTACACAATATTGTTGTTTTTTATCCGTGCCAATTTCAATTACCTACGTAACATTCAAACATATGTTAACATCTAAAACAAGGTGGACAGTTGTAAATTTTGATAAGAAAACGAGACAATTCAAAAAATCAAAATTGAAAAATGAAGGGAGCCTCACACGTTTGGGGTGGCATAGCCATATTTATGCATTGTTTGTTAGTCATTAAAAAGAAAAATAAATAGTAAGGCTAAAAAAGAGAGAGACACGTTGCAATATTAGTAGTGATTGTAAACTCATCAAATATAAGAACAACTCATCCAACTTAAGGATAGCAGTCAAGCAAACAAATTTGGGATTTATTCACCTTTATTTTTTAAATGATTCTCCAAACTAAGAAATTTACATGTTAACATGTAAAACAAGGTAGACATATGTCAATTTTGATGAGAAAACGAGGCAATTTCAAAAAATCAAAACTGAAATATGAAGGGAGCCCCACACGTTTGGGGTGGCATAGCCATATTTATGCATTCTTTGTTATTCATTAAAAATAAAAACAAATAATAGAGCTGAAAAAGAGAGAGAGACACGTTGCAATATTAGTAGTGATTGTAAACTCATCCAACGTAAGGACAACTCATCCAACTTAAGGACAATAGTCGAGCAAACATATTTGGGAGTTATTCACCTTTAGTTTTTAAATGATTCTCCAAACTAAGAAATTTATGGATATTGTGAAAGATAAAAACACTTAAGACATCAACAAGACGTAACTAATATGCACTAATGTCTCCTTGGAAAAACAACGTATCGATCACTATAAGGCTCATCATAAAACTAAACTACACTTGAGAATTTGTCGGTTCATCGATATCTTCCATGTGGGGCTCCAACTCTGTGTTCATAAATGTTTCAATGTCTAAGTCACTACCCTCTCTTCGGCTAGTTGAAGCCAATTTTTTACACCTTCGCTTCGTGTGTCCAATGCTCCTACAATAACAAATAATGCATAAAGAATTTTAGTAATCATGTACATGCAACATGATGGAAAAAGGACATGCAATTAAAGTACCATACCTACAATACTTGGTTTTGGAGGTTTATCCATAGAAGATGTCCCTCCGGGGTTCCCTTTGGTCTTCACTACATTAGGATCACCAATGCCACATAGTTTGGGTGTAATATTTTTGTCCCCAACCTTGGTATTATATTCCGTTCGCATTGCCCAGCGCTTTTTCATCTTCAATGTCATCTAGAAAGCCATTTCCCTTGCCTCTTCAAAATCGTTGTTTGCGTGTGAGGCATAATATGACATTTCACTAAAACATGAGCTCAGTATACCGAACCGGGCTGTCTGTGTTAGGGTGCTAGAAATTTGGGTAAGACTTGGTTGTTGATATCCTGACCTACCACGTCTTGTCCATCTCTTCAAGACACAACTCGGTGGAATACACATTAATTGTTCAGATTTCATGACAGCAATCATGTGGCAACAAGGGATGCTAAACAACTCAAACTTCAAGCAGCAACATTTTATTGTGATATCTGCTGGAAAATACTCAACCATCCATGTGATTGTTGGTGCCTTGTACTCACCAAAACGATAGGTGCGACGATCCTCCAACTCAACTCTTTCCATCACAAACAATTTACCCTCTTTGCTGATTTCACGTTGAAACAATGAAAAAATCTTCCGATTAAAGAGCTCAGCTGCATGTTTTTCCAAACTTCTCAATGGCGTAGTCAAAACCAAGAAACTATTCTCTGTTTTAGATTCTGTTTCTGCCTCATTAACACGCATCCTAGCAAGAGCCCTATCATATTGTGCTACAAATTCGTACAGCCTTACTTTTTGTTCTAGGAACATATTGAAATATGTATTCATACCCTCGACATGTTAAGTGGTCCCCATCCCAACAAACATGTGACCACGAAGATATGCCTCAGCCCACTTATCACGCTTGCGGTGAATCTCTAACACCCAGTTATTGTTCTGCAACTTGTATTGTTTCACCATACGAGCCCACGCATTGTCAAACTCAACAATTTTACATTTCTTTAACATCAACTGTGCGAAATCATTAGTAAATTCTGGTATGTGGACATTTGTTGAGGCATTTTTCTCCAGATGCCAAGAACATAAACGATGTCTGCAATTTGGAATAACTCTTTCGATTGCCTAACGCATTGCTCTATCACCATTTGTTACAATAGAGATGAGTCTTTGTCCATCCATAGCCTCCATTAACGTTTCCAACACCCACGTGTATGCCTCCATTGTCTCATCAGGCAACAAAGCACATCCAAATATGATTGTCATAAAATGGTTACTCACGCCAGCTAGAATCACAAATGGCTTCTTATACTGATTTGTACGATAAGTTGTATCAAATACCAATACATCACCAAATGCAGCATAGTCCATTCGAGACCTACTATCTACCTAGAAAATCTTGTCTAACCGGTTATCCTTATCGACGTTGTACTTGAAAAAAAATAATGGTTCTGCATCTAGTTTAGCTGATAAGTATCCTAAGGCACCCTCTGCATCCCTTTCTGCTAGTTGTACTTTGCGCTCAGCTTGGAACTAGTTGTTCAAATCTTTGTGAATGAATCCCACCTTCTCATAACCCCCTGATTGATGGACCATAAATTCCATGATTTGACTCGTTCTTTTACCCACATTGCGCGTGGCCTTTGCTTGAGCTTGGTTTGCACTTGTTACAAACCTATGTGACCACAGAAAAAAGGATGAAGTGTGGTGCTGCCAAGGGATGGTTGTGTTCCCCTACAAAGTGGGTCACAACATATTTTTTAATTGTCTTGTCATACACGAAATGTGGCACTACAAAAAAGTCTAGTTTCTGCCCTGGGAGTTCTTACCCGTTCCACACGCTATAAGTATTTCTTTTCTCTTACACCTTCCCTTGAACAAAACCATTTCCTACTCTTTACAAATTTGTTGTCTCCACAAATTCGTTTCCTACTTCTTCGTATGCTAAAACCGATGACCCTAGCGTATGCATTGTAGAAAGAATAAGCATCCTCCTCTAAATTGAATTTCATTTGCAAAACATCAACCTCAGTAAGCATTCGTAAACAATCATAGGTTTGGGAAGCTAACCCTTCTTCTTTCCCATCGACAACATCATCCTTGCCATCCGGAGCAACTTGATTGTCAATTTTACTGTTGACCTCTTTCTGCCTACTACTTTCAGGTTCATCCATCATATCTACATAACAAATCGCATAGACAACAAATGTGCACGCAGACAACAGATGTGCAGATTTGGCATTAGTTAAATGCAAATAATAAAAAAGTACACTCGTAAATACCATAATATAAATTAAAATCAAACAAATCAACAAAAAAACACACCCGCCAGTGCCCTCCTATAAATTAAAATCAAACAAATAAATAAGCACACCTGCCAATGCTTCGCTATCAATTCAAAGCAAATAAATTCAAAAATACACCAGCAAGTACCCTACTATAAATTAAAATATAAAAAACCACACCCGTCAGTGCTCTGCTTTCAATTATCGACTCAAACTTCAAGCAACAACATTTTATTGTGATATCTGCTAGAAAATACTCAACCGTCCATGTTCTTGTTGGTGCCTTGTACTCACCAAAATGATAGGTGTGATGATCCTCCAACTCAACTCTTTCCATCACAAACAATTTACCCTCTTTGCTAATTTCACGTCGAAACAATGAAAAAAATCTTCCGAGTAAAGAGCTTAGCGGCATGTTTTTCCAAACTTCTCAATGGCGTAGTCAAAACCAGGAAACTATTCTCTGTTTTAGATTCTGTTTCTGCCTCATTAACACACATCCTAGCAAGAGCCCTATCATATTGTGCTACAAATTCATACAACATTACCTTTTGTTCTAGGAACATATTGAAATATGCATTCATACCCTCGATATGTTGAGTGCTCCTCATCCCAGCAAACATGTGACCATGAAGATACGCCTTAGCCCACTTATCATGTTTACAGTGAATCTCCAACACCCAATTATTGTTCTCCAACTTGTATTGTTTCACCATACGAGCCCACGCATTGTCAAACTCAACAATTTTACATTTCTTTAACATCAACTGTGCGAAATCATTAGTAAATTCTGGTATGTGGACATTTGTTGAGGCATTTTTCTCCAGATGCCAAGAACATAAACGATGTCTGCAATTTGGAATAACTCTTTCGATTGCCTAACGCATTGCTCTATCACCATTTGTTACAATAGAGATGAGTCTTTGTCCATCCATAGCCTCCATTAACGTTTCCAACACCCACGTGTATG